GGGAATTGAATATGGTTTAGCCACTTTGATACAAACGGTTTGGCATATATATATGTTGTGTATATATATATATATATATACACACACACTTTAAATGCAAGGGAAAGTAGATGCAACAAGTTAAAGAAGACACAGTCTCTCTCTCTCTCTTTCTCATAATGGAAAAGGAAAACAAACTATTCTTAAAGAAACCAAGACATTGGACTTACTAAATAAATACTTAGTCATCTTAAATATACTCAAAAGTCTGAAGGAAACCATTGTTAAAAAACGAAATCAGAGGAATAATGTATGAACAAGTAGGGGGTATTAATGAAGAAATTATTTTAAAAAATGAAAGTTTTGGAATTAAAGATACAATAACTGAAATATAAAATTTTACTAGGTAAAACCAACACCACATTAGACCCATTGAATCTGGTATAAGAAAGAATTCAGCATATTTAAATAAAGGGCATTTGAAATTACCTAGTTGAATGGCAGTTAGATAAAAGACAATGAAGAAGATTGAACAGAGCCTAACAGACCTATGGGATACCAGGAAATGTACCAACACATTCATTTTGGGAGTCCCAGTTGGCCAAGATAGAAAAAGGAAGAAAAAATAGGTGAAGAAATAATGGCTGAAAATTTCTAAATTTAATGAAAAATATGACTCTACAAATCCAAGAAGCTTATGAACTCCAAGAAAGAGAAATTCAAAGGGAGCAACATCAAGAAATATTATAAACAAGTCTTAATTTCAAAAGAAATCTTGAATGTAGTAAGAAAGAAGTGACTCATCAAGTGCAAGGGATCTCCAGTAAGATTAACAGCTAGTTCCTCATCATTAACTGTGGAGGCCAGGAGATAGTGATACATTGAAATCATTGAAGGGAAAAAAAAATAAATCTGTTAATCAAGATGTCTATATTTGAAAAAACTATCTTTGAAAAAGTGAAGGAGACCATCAAAAGGACTATTTTAAATTTTAGTGTTTGAATATAAATGAATGAATGAATGGGAAACCATGTGTTTTGCCTATTAGATGGTTTTCTTTTATTTTTAAAATCGCCAGTGGGTATGTGTACTCACCAGAGAGAGAGACATATCCCCAATGGGGCATGGTCCTGTCCAATCCCTTTCTCTCCCTTTTTCCATTCTTCCAGAGTCTTTGTCACACATTCACTACACTCATGTGTTTTTTAAGCTTCCAGAACCAGGATTCAACTGTGGTTGACCATTTGGAATCTGGTTCCCTATGCACAATCTTTAACTGCTGTATTTTGGAGCCAACCCCTGTTGGTTGATTTTCAACAGTTTAAGAATATCTTAATTAGGATGTCAACTAATAGGTCCTTAACATAATTTTGATAATAGTTGGTATTATGAGTTTAATTATGGCTCCCCCAGAAAGGTATGTTGAATTCCTAATTTTCCATATTTTGAATGTGACCTTATTGGGAATAAGACCTACATAGAGGTAATCAAGTTAGTAAGAGATTATAAGAGTGAGCCCTAACCCAGTAGGACTGTTTTATTTATAGAAGGAGAAATTTTAACACAAAGACTCTTTCCTACACACACACACCAAGGGAAGACAACCGGAAGGCACACAGAGAAGAAATGGCCATGTAACTGGAGTGGTGCATCTGAATACCAAAGATTGCTAGTGAAAAAGGAAATTAGAAGCATCAAGGAAGGATTCTCCCCTAGAGCTGTCAAAGAACTTAGCCCTGCTAACATCTTGATTGGGAGTTAGTCAACTGCAAGTCAGATCAACAAGAAAAGCAGAATAAGTTATACTTATTATGTTAGCATATCATATCATTTAAAGTATTGTTTTGGGCAAATTCTGGCTATAGAACAATTTTATTTTTAATTGTCATAGGATGTGGGGTTACAGGTGGACAATACCCTCCCAACCCTGCCTTAGTGTGGTGTGGTCACACTACATTCTTTCTTCCTCCATTTCTTCTTCCTGTCAGGATTTTAGGCAAATATACATGCATGCGCAGAGTGTTTCTCAAGCGCCAGAATCAAGATTTGAACTGTGATTGGCCATGTAGGATCCAGCTCCCAATACATATTGCTTAACTACTGCATTATTGTGCCAGCCCGTGCTATGGGGGTCTTGCTTAAGAAGTCTTTGCTACCCCTAGATGAATATATTTTTTATGTAAGAAAGTGCAGTGTACACACAAGAAGGGCGGGGGTGGGGGGGAAGGCAAAGAGTACTTTTGATAGGGTCTTATCACACTGTGATCCCCTTTGCCCAGACCTCCAGCTCTTCATAATCTTAAGTGCCTGTGCACATGCTTAGTGTGTTTTCAGGCTGCCTAGGGATCCAAACTACAGTCTTTGTATTGTTCCAGCACTGCAAATCCCTAGTGTTACCACTGTGCCACGGTGGCTGAACCTAAAACAATATTAATGTTCTTAATTAAATTTTTTTTGAGAGTTTTTTTCGCTATAGGGTGCACGCGCTCATCAGACAGATAGAGACAGAGAGACAGAAAGCGAGAAGTCACCCCCCGGGGGGATGGCCATGCCGCAATCCCTTCTCCCCCATTCTCCTCTCGTTTTATTTATAGAAGGAGAAATTTTAACACAAAGACTCTTTCCTACACACACACACCAAGGGAAGACAACCGGAAGGCACACAGAGAAGAAATGGCCATGTAACTGGAGTGGTGCATCTGAATACCAAAGATTGCTAGTGAAAAAGGAAATTAGAAGCATCAAGGAAGGATTCTCCCCTAGAGCTGTCAAAGAACTTAGCCCTGCTAACATCTTGATTGGGAGTTAGTCAACTGCAAGTCAGATCAACAAGAAAAGCAGAATAAGTTATACTTATTATGTTAGCATATCATATCATTTAAAGTATTGTTTTGGGCAAATTCTGGCTATAGAACAATTTTATTTTTAATTGTCATAGGATGTGGGGTTACAGGTGGACAATACCCTCCCAACCCTGCCTTAGTGTGGTGTGGTCACACTACATTCTTTCTTCCTCCATTTCTTCTTCCTGTCAGGATTTTAGGCAAATATACATGCATGCGCAGAGTGTTTCTCAAGCGCCAGAATCAAGATTTGAACTGTGATTGGCCATGTAGGATCCAGCTCCCAATACATATTGCTTAACTACTGCATTATTGTGCCAGCCCGTGCTATGGGGGTCTTGCTTAAGAAGTCTTTGCTACCCCTAGATGAATATATTTTTTATGTAAGAAAGTGCAGTGTACACACAAGAAGGGCGGGGGTGGGGGGGAAGGCAAAGAGTACTTTTGATAGGGTCTTATCACACTGTGATCCCCTTTGCCCAGACCTCCAGCTCTTCATAATCTTAAGTGCCTGTGCACATGCTTAGTGTGTTTTCAGGCTGCCTAGGGATCCAAACTACAGTCTTTGTATTGTTCCAGCACTGCAAATCCCTAGTGTTACCACTGTGCCACGGTGGCTGAACCTAAAACAATATTAATGTTCTTAATTAAATTTTTTTTGAGAGTTTTTTTCGCTATAGGGTGCACGCGCTCATCAGACAGATAGAGACAGAGAGACAGAAAGCGAGAAGTCACCCCCCGGGGGGATGGCCATGCCGCAATCCCTTCTCCCCCATTCTCCTCTCGGGATCTTGGGCACTCACGCACACACGCCCGGCGTGAATTTTAAGCCACCGGGTCTGGGACATGAACCGCGGTCGACTATGTGGGAGTCCAGCAACATAGCCATTACGCTAACTGCTGGTCCCTTAATTAAATATTTATTTGGGAGATAATTTGGAGAAGAAAAGATTTAGAAGGTTTGATTTTTTAAAATATCAGATTAATTTTTGAATAAGAAGGTTGAATTATGGCTTTGATGTCCAAGTGTTTTTATGTTTGCTTTAACCTCTTATAGTAGGGATGGTAAGTAGATTTGCTCTCATTTGTCAACTGTAATCTGTTGATTATAGCTACTGTGTTAGAAAGATTCTGTGACATTGTTTTTCAGTGTCTGCATGGTCTTAATGGCTGTCTATAGCATGCATGCCATGTGTATGCTAATTGCAAGCCTACTCATGTTAATTATTAGATGTACAAATGTTTAAGTTGTGTTTTCCTCAGCTGACTTTGGTTCAAGAAATTTCATCAGATATGTTTATACTGTGTAAGTGGTTCTTGAATTCTACTTAGATGTAGATTTTTTCAGGGAGGTTTGGATTCTGGCATTTGTAAAGTAGACTTCTATTTGGAGTACAGCTGTCAAAGCATCATTGATAGTATTGTTAATGAATATAGAATAGAATCCTGTAGTATTAAAGAGTAACAAAATAAATTACTGAGGTGGTACCGTTTTGTTAACTTCAATTTGTACTTTCAAGTTTTGGAGAGGTACTGTATAATTTATTTGTTTTCTGACATAGAGAAGAATAAACCTGTGACATTTAATACTATGAAAATTTTTTATTTCTTATGAAATATAGATAATATTTTTTATTATAAACTATTTTCACTAGGCAATTTTTTCTTCAATATCTATGTTCTTTTCAAAAGCCATGTTTTTTGTTTGTTTTTGATAGAGGTTTTTCCCTTAGGGCACGTGCTCTACCAGAGAGAGACAGAGACAGAGATAGTGTGAAAGAAAGTGAGAAATCACCCCCCCCCAGGGGGATGGCCATGCCACAATTCCTTCTCCATTTTCCTCCCAGGATCTTGGCATTATACATGTGCCCGGCCTGAGTTTCAAGCCACCAAGTCTGAGCCTTGAACTGTAGTTGGCCCTTTGGGAGTCCAGTGACATAACTGTTATGCCATCTACTGGCCCCTCAAAGGCCATGTATTAATCTATTACTATATTTTCCTTTTACTCTTACATTTACAAGGTACCTGTGATATCAGAGTACTCAAAGCATAAATCCACATATCATACAATTTCTTCTTTGACTCTTAGTATGAAAAGACAGAAAGTATACATTGTATCAATATGACACTTTTCCATACATATGATATATAATTTCTGGTTAAAAGACAGTAAATAGTAAAAAAAATATACCTTGCTTTATTTATGGACTATCAGTATAATTTTTCTCTTCATGCTTTACAGGTTGATGAGAAGGCCCTGAAGCACATAACAGAAATGGGCTTCAGTAAGGAAGCATCCAGGCAAGCTCTTATGGATAATGGCAACAACTTAGAAGCAGCATTGAATGTACTTCTTAACAGCAATAAACAGAAACCAGTTATGGGCCCACCTCTGAGAGGTATAATTTATTAAGCAGTGGGCCAGAGAGTATTTTTTGCTTTTCACAGGAATATGTATTATTGACAGAGGCCAAATTTTATTGCTTTAAGGGCTATAATTTTATTTAACATTGTGATAAATAGAAGGAGTACCAGTTTTGGGACCATAGAGATATTTGCAAGTTATCCTGAGTCTTGTTGTCTTCATCTTTTATAAACTAGATCTAATGCCTTTGAAAAAAAAAATTCCACAGGGCTGGTGAGAGAGAGACAGACAGAGAGAAATCACCCTTCGTTAGGCATGATCATAACTCAGCCCCTTGTCCTCATTACTCCTCCCATCTGGGATTCTGAGCATGCCTGCACATGTGCCTGACCCTCAGGTCTAGAATTTGAATTATACTGTTGGCCCTGTCTTAACCATCTGCCTTAACCACCATGTCACTGCTGGCCCCATAATGCCTTTAACAGGGTTTTATGAGTAATAGACAACATATGTTATAAAATGATTAGTTTTATTAATTATTTCTGGAAGTATTCCTCTTGTATAAATGACTAAACAGTCTGAATACCCTTTAAAGTTAGTAAAACGTAACTTTTATTTGGTGCTAACTTTTTGATCATTACATGGTAAAATGTGTTATGTAATTTTTCAATTCTAAAGGTATAATTTTTTTTTTAAAATGGCTATGGTTAGGGCCAGAAGTTGACCTAGAGGTTAAGATGATTGGTTCCTACATGGTTGACTATGATGTTCGAGTCCTGGACCTGGCAGCTTGAGAGTTATGCCAGGCATGTGTGTGAGCATGCCCAAAATCCCAATAGAAGAATGGAGGAGATGGGATTATCGCATGGTCATGCTCCATGACAAGGGATTTCTCACTTTCTCTTTCTCTCTCTCTGACTCTCTCTCTCCCTCTGCCTCCTACTCCTCTGGCAAATGCATGCCTTATAGAAAACTTAAAAGAAAAAAAAATGTGGTTAAAGTAAAAGTATTTTTATAAAAATAATTTTTTCCTTTTTCTTTTTTTTTTAAGAGAGATTTTTTTCCTAAAGGGCCCATGCACTTGCTGGAGAGACAGAGAGAGATAGGGAGACAGAAAGCAAGAAATCACACACAAGGAGGGATGGCCATGGTTCAATCCCTTTTCCTCCATTCTTCTTCTGGGCTTTTGGGCATGCATGCACACTTACCCAGCATGAATTTCAAGCTACCCGGACCGGGACTCGAACCGTGTTTGACTACACTGGAGTCTAGCAACATAACCATTATGCCATCTGCTGGCCCCAAAATAATTTTTTTCTTAAACAATAATGTATATGAAGAAATTTAAATTTCAGAATTGATCATTTGAAAATTTTTATTATAAAAATGTTGGCTGTACAGAAAATTATGAAAACAAATATATGGAAAATCCTCCTTAAAATGATTGCTGTGGACCAGCGGATGACAGAATGGTTACATTGCTGGACTCTCTTGTAGTCAATTGTGGTTCAAGTCCTGGACTTAACCACTTAAAACTCATACTGGGTGTGTGTATTTGCATGTCCAAAATGCCGAGAGGAGAATGGACAAGAAAGGATTGCAGTGTGGCCATCCTCCTGGGGAGTGATTTCTCGCCTTCTGTCTGTCTTCTCTCTCTGGGTGAGCACATGCCCCTATCACAGAAATCTCTCTAAAATAAATAAATAAATAAATAAAAGAAGAAGACTGCTGGTTATATTTTAGTATATTTTCTTTGTTTGTTTTTGAGTGTATAATATATATGTCTTGTTTTAAATCTTAAGGTAGAGGAAAAGGCAGGGGGCGAATACGATCTGAAGATGAAGAGGACCTGGGAAGTGCAAGGCCGTCAGCACCAAGCACATTATTTGATTTCTTAGAATCTAAAATGGGGACTTTGAGTGTGGAAGGTAAGGTAGCTTAAAGCAGATTTCTTTCTTTTTCACTTTGGAATTTTACAAGAAAGGTTTAAGAATGCAGCCAATAATATGAACCTATATTCTAGGTGTTTTGTTTGTAGATTTATTTAATCATAAACTTCCTATTTGACAGAAGTGCAAAAAAATTTTAATTGTTATTTTCTTTTATTAAAGAATTATTTAATGTTGCTTATTTATTCATTTTGTTTTAATTTGACCAGAGAGAGAGAGAGAGGGAAAGTGAGAAAGCAAGTCACAATGTCCAGGACTTGAACCATGGTTGGCTATGTGGGAGTGTCCAGTGCCTTAACCACCACGTCACCTGCTGGTCCCCTAACTATTATATTCTTTTTTTTTTAATAATTATTTTATTTAACTTTATTTATTATTTATTCATTTGTTTATTTCAATTTGACCAGAGAGGGACAGAGTGAGAGAGAGAGAGAGAGAGAGAGAGAGAGAGAGAGAGAGAGATTGAGAGAAAGTGAGAAAGCAAGCCGCCAGGTCCAGGACTCGAATCACAGTCAGCCATATGGGAATCCAGTGCTTTTAACCACCACACCACCTGCCGGCCCCTAATTGTTATATTCTTAAAACAAAAATTGCAGTTTTTATTTTGCCCAATAACTATATGTTGAAAAATATCACCAATTATTACCCTAACTTTATTCCTATCTAGATGACACATTTAGCTATGTAAGCAGATTGTTGTATTAGAAAATTTATTGTTATATAATCTTGTATAATTCATTTTCATTATAAAATTGGTCTCATGTCTTTTTCCTCATGTTAGTTATTATATGAAAAAGTTCACACAATGAGTGAATATGCATTCAAATATGATGTATTTCTTAATATGATATAGTTTAGTGATTAACATAAATATTAAAATTAGAAATAAGTATGTTAATCATGTATTTTTTTTCTAAGCATGGCATGTGCTAAAAATTTTCTAAAGTAGCTCTTAAAGATTAAGAAAATATACTTTTAAATTTAGTTTTCTCTTTCAGATGTATTTTGAATGCAACCAAATAAGCTCAGAGGTAAAATGCTTTTATAACAAGTTTGAAATAGATTTCATGAGAATGGAAGCATATTTGCTAGATTATAAAGAAAAGATATTATTTGAGAAATCAAGTAATTTTGATATATACAAGATTTGTTAGAACATATTTTCTTGGTTATAAACTATAAATATTAGTTTTCTATTGCTGCATAACAGATAACTATGAAATCAGAGACTTAAAACAGTGCAGATTTATTATATCATGATTTCTGTGTCTGGAGTACAGGCACAGCTTAGTTGGGGCTTCTGTTTTAACATGCTTGAAATCAAGATTTCAGTTGGGGCTTTAATCTTGCCCAAGGCTTCAGGTCCTCCTAAGGGCTCACTAGTTGGATGAGATTTTTTTTCCAACAAATGTAAGAAAAGTTAGTAGCACATTTACTTTTGTGTCATACTATATAATTTTTTCTAAAAGAGCAAAGGGTACTATAATTTCTTTATTTTAATTTTTAAAAATTCCATCAAAAATAATTGATAATCATATCTACTTTTCTTAGAAATTTTCTTAGTATTAAGTTTAAATTGTAATTGAGAATAAATATTACTGACATTTTTATTAATATTCTGAACAAATAACATTTGATTACATTGTTTTCTGAGAGTAAAGACTAACATGTCCAGTGTAATGGGTAAAGAGATGTCAAGTTGCGGAGATTTCATTAATCAATTTGTGATAGGGTTGGATTCCAAAATGCCTGTTGAGTATAGGTGTTTAAAATTTCATTTGGAGACTACATATTATAATTAGTAGCTAGATTATCAGGCCAACTCTCAAAAGGCTGTTTGTATGTTAGTTTACACCTAAAATGTGTCAATAGGATCAGTTCAGTGATGTATTCCTGCTATTTAAAACAATGACCAATGGCAATATATATTGTATTTTGAGTTTCAACTTGTGACACGAGTAGGTTTAGTTCTTTCACATTGTTATGAAAGACATCTGGCAGGCCAGAGATAGGGGAAAATGATGCCTTGAGACAGGGACTTTACTGTTTTAACATTCTACATCTAAAGAAGGCCTTAATTTACTCTCTATAGGTGTTCTGAATGGAGATCAAGGGTCTTCGTGAAAAAGTGAACAGAGCAACTCTCTTAAATTCATATTCCAGTATTCTTCCCTTTTTTGTGTAGCTTACTTCATGAATTAGTTTCATGTTATCAGTTTTATTTATGTTTCTTCATATTTGTGCCTAAATGGTAGAAAGTAGAAAGTATAACCTAGTTTTATAGAAGGCATGCACTTAGAAAAATGTGCTTGGAGTTCAAATAGCTTTTTTTTTTTTTTTTTTTTTTTAATGAGAAAAATAAGATTTTTTTTTTTTTCCAAGAGAGATTTTAGGTATGGGTATGTGTGCTCACCAGAGAGACAGAAAATGAGAAATCCCCCTCCTCCCCGCCCCTCCCCAGGGAGGATGGCCATGCTGCAATCTCTTCTTTCCCATTCTCCTGTAAGGATTTTGGGCACCTGTGCACATGCACTGGGCCTGAGTTTTAAGCTGCTAGGTCTGGGACTTGAACTACCGTCTACTGTGTAGGAGACTAGTGATGTAACTGTTATGTCATCATTTGGTCCCAGTTATCTGATTCTTAAACTTTTTGGCTTGTCAGTAACAATTGAAAAGAGGACCTTTTTGTTGGCTGTGTCCTTGTTCTCACTGGCTTTCAATTTGCCAGCTTGTTCTCCTACTAATGTAACTGGATGCATTTTGTTCTTTCTGAATTCCTTTTTGTGTGTTGACAGACTGTCTGTCTCTATGTGGTAACTAAGATTGGTCATAAAGCCCTAGGTGTCATATAAAGCCAACATATAAGGCAGCATAATCACATACAAAGATATACAGGTAAAAAAGAATTTCATAAACAATTTTTTTTCTTAAAGAACAACACCTTTCATCGTGTAATTATCGATTCCATAAGATCAACTGATTACCCTTGGAGTTGTTGGCATTGGTATATAGCTGGAATAGGAGCCCAACAAGACTTGGAGAAAAGAGTACCACAGCAGCTGCTATTAAATCATAGTATATGATAAAAATTAATAAAAATATTTTTTAGACACAAAAGAATAGTCCTCATACTTGGGAGGTCAGACAGAAAAAGACTTTCAATGTCCTTGGATTTTTTTTTTTCTTATCTGTTTCTTCTTAGTGAGGAGAACATAGACATCTTAATGGGTTCCATCAGTATTATATGTAAAGATGAAGAAGTAGTTCCCATTACTATACTCACTACAGGTTCTGTTACCAAAAGAAGGGGACAGAATACTGGAGCAGATAAATTCCACCAGTAGTCTCATAGCTTTTATATTTAGTAGTTGTATATCTTATACAGATGTGTGTGTGTATTTTAATATCCAGAGGGTATATTCACTTGCTACAGAGAGAGAGAGAGAGAGAATATGAATGAGTAAGCACCCCACCCCAGATGGGTCATGGTTGTACACACGCACATCTATGTTTTTCAACTGACCAGGCCTGGGATTCAGAACCAGTGTAGCCATATGGAACTCAATCCCTCATGCACAGCACTTAACCTCCTGTGCTACAGGGCCAACTGAAGTTACATTACTCTTTTTTTTTTCTTTTCTTATTTTTGGAGAGGTTTTTGCTATAGTGTGCGTGCACTCGCCAGACAGACAGAGAGATAGAAAGTGAGAAATAATCCCCTGGGGAGATGGCCACGCCACTTTCCCTTCTTCTCCATTCTCCTTTCGGGACCTTGGGCACACATGCACATGCGCCTGGTGTGAATTTAAGCCACCAGGTCCGGGACTCGAACCGTGGTTGACTACATGGTTGCTATAGTCCAGCAACATAGCCATAACTCCAACTGCTAGTCCCAGAAGTTACATTACTCTTAAAATAGGAAAGTAGTAACAGCACCTATTATAGGATTATAGAGTTGTTGGGAAAATCAAAGTTTATAATGCATTTAAAGTGTACAGTTCTTGGCACATAGGCCTCCATATCAATGGTACTTTGCGCTCTCGTCATCATCATTGTCATTAGCAGTAGCAACAGCATGTTCCACACATCTATCATCTCCACCCACACTGTCCTACTTCAGGTCCTTATCAACCCTCCACCGTTCTTTGAGAAACTTAATCATCCCATTTTCCATTTTGTGGTTAGTGATCTTTCAAAACACAGATTTGATTCCACTATCCCCTTGCTTAAAATTCTACATTTACTATTCTCATGGGATGATAAAATTTAGACTATACCACATATACTATTTGTATGGTGTTCCATTACTCTGTTTCCTATAGATTTTGTGTTGTTGTATTTATCTTGGTTAACAGGACTGAATAATTTCAAATGCAATATAGTATTTAGATATAAATAATGTATTTAGATGTTAAAAATATTAATATCTAATGGGTACCCAGTATCACTAAGAAGATATTTGATAGTTGGTGGACATTATCCTTTTTTTTTCTTTTGATCAAGTTTCAACTTAGTTTATAAAATTGAGATTATAGGCTTACAGTTTGAATTTTGAAGACTGAAGAATAGGGACTGCATGTAGGAAATGTGATGTAGTGATAATAGCCTATTTGGAAAGGTAGGAAACTAGGACAAGAAGAAAGAAGAGAATATGTATATGTTAGAGTAGGGGTTCTTATGAAGGGTTTTCTCAAAAAAGGATCACCTGCGTATTGACACCTGTGTATAATTACATCTTATTGCATCAAATAGCATTAGTCTGCATTAATTGGAATTGATGGTAGCATACCTCTCTGGAAGCCAGTATGGATGGCTGCTATGTGAGTAAGCTTATGAGTCGTTAGTACATCAGAAAACAGAAAGAATTTATAGCTATCTACCTACTACCTATCACTTTCTCTCTGTTCTTAATCTGTCTCTGTGGCCTTCTAGCCCTTGATTTTTTTATATGGCTGATTTCTTTCTACCATTTCATTCTT